CTACCTGAAGAGTAAGAGAGCATTTGAGCCTAAATGAATTTATAAAACAGATATGTATAGAATTAATCACAAGCAGTTTTACACAGCTTGGGAATATAAGTTAGCTATCTGGGCTTCCTTGCTCAATGAGGAAGAAGAGAACCATTTTAAGGTGGATCCTACCCTATTCTAAGAAAAAATATCTCTCAGTTAGTTGGGATGAATGCCTTCTGAACAGGTTCCTCTACACTGAGCTTAAGTAACTATTATGGCTGAGACACCTCATTTCAGCAGGCTCAAGTTCAAAAAATCCCACTCAATGCACTTTGGTATGATATGAATGCCTAGGATTGAAGGGCAGGGCCTTGGGAGAGCATCCTTTGTTAACTCTTTAGTATGTGTCTGCCCATCGAAATTAAAACATAAAAATAATCTTGAAACAGTAAGAAAAATCAAGTTAAATGTATGTTAAGAACTGAAATCTGCTTCTGCCCTTCTCAAGAAATAACACTTCTTCCCTGTAAGACATAGAGATCTGGGGCTACAAAGCAATGGATCTATAGCTCCCCTAGAGCTAACATCTGTTCTAGTCTATTTCATTATTTCTGAAATTTGGGTAAGGGCATATAAAAGAGAATTTGGTTCTGAGTTTAACTTAATTCTTTTAAATTGTAAGAATATTTAAGAGGAAAATATCACATAATTTATAAAAGGTAATGCTCAAGGGATGTTAACAAGGAGAGATGATAACGCCCTCAACCTTTGAAGGACAGAGATGAAGAGGGAGACAGTTTTTGTCTATGAGAGGTTGCCAGGAGCTGTAGTGATGGAGAAACTGCGATGAGCAATAGGAACGTGGAATCACAGAATTGTTAAGGTTGGAAAAGACCACTAAGGTCATCAAGTCCATCTGTTGAGACCATTGTTTTTAGTCATCATCAGTGTTACAAATTTCACTTTGCAGCCTTGCCGTTTGAAGGGCTTTTATTTTTCTGTCAATAGAGTCATGAAGAGCCCAGGCAATCCTCCAAAAAATGAGGAGGCCCCTCAGCATATCTAGGCAAACACAAACTTGTGGTTCATGTGGATCAACAGAAATAAACTCATGAACTGTACATATATGTGTGCATAGAATAAAAGCCCAAGAAAAATATTAGCCAGTAGCACTGAAAAACTTTGTGAAATTATTTTCTTCTGTATATCACTAATTTTCATTGAAGTCAAAGGTGCAAAAGAAGCATGAATAGTTCTGAACATTCTGGTTTTTGGTAAATCAAAACCTTATTTACAGGCTTCAGAGGTGTTTCAGTGGTCATTGTATTTGAGTGCACTGCTAAGCCTGATGTTCATATTAACAAACAGAGAATAAAAAAGAAGCTTTAGATTTGCTAATTGGAAGTTGTCATGCCTTTAATAACTTGAGTGACTAACTCAAGACACTTTCCTCTCTTGCAGGAAGATTAATGTAAACTCCCTTTTAAAGTGGTTAATCTTATCCATTGTATACACATTTTAACAGAAACAAACTAAATGTTCTCGCCATGACTTCAGATGTGCTGTAAAAGATAATCTTCCAAGACTGACAGTAATAGATTATTATCAACCAAGCAGGAAGCTCCAGGACACCTGGGTGCATATTTTAGAAGGCTTATTGAAAACCTCCCCACAGATTTAACTCCAAAAATCCATCCTCAGTACTAAAATTAATTATATGTATAGAGAGACATGTACCTATGAGATATATAATGTACAATGACGATTCTTTGATTGCCTTTATATTATAGCTGAAATGAGGTGTTTGTGTATTCCCATCAGTTGTGGTACATATTTGTTGGTCTAAGGTTTACTCTGGGCAAAACTATCCTTAAAGCAAACATTCAAGTCTGCATCTCTGAACCTATAGTTTAACCCCATGTGGTTTCAACTTCAACCTTTTAACAACAAATTATTTATGTAAACTGTCAAATCCACATAGGACAGGCAGCTGCAGAAGAAGAAACTGAAACATGTAAACCATAGTGAGAAGCATAAGGGAGAGTAGTCTTTCCCTTCCTGTATTTAGCTCAGTAAGAGTGAATTATTCATTACAATCAAGCTAAAGCTCCTCCAGTGTTGCCAGTTATCCACAAGTTTTTTGAAAATTAAAGTTCAGCATGAAGCCTCCAGAGAATTATTCTGAGTTAGTAACACCTGCAAAGAACAGAGATTTCACTGTGAGGTAAATTGCTATGTGATTGCCCACATGTCAGCAAAAATTATAATTGGGAGAAAGTGAATATTTTCTCTGTATTTAACTGGTGAGGATTTTGTTGGGTGTCATTTTACATTAAGTAGTAGAGTTATAATTTAGAATGTTTCACAGCAGCCGATCATGTTTGTTTTAACAGCAATTTTTCTTTTCTGAGAAGATTTCTGTTGCTGTCAGCTGCTATTGCAACTTTATGAAATACACATTTAGAAGCCTTTCATATTCTTAGGGAAAATTGTCAGGCTTTTAACTGTGGAATTTTCTGCCCATGATTTCTTGTGAATTTAGAAGTTGATGCTTTCCCCTACCTAGCTGTATCTCATAAATAGCAAGCTAAGTCAGGATTTTGATCTCTACATCTGTAGCATATATACACTCAGTAGCTCCCTGGACAGCCATGGAAACTACCTAAAGCATAGATTTTTGTTTCTTCCAGGTGTTTCAGAAATAGGCTCATAAATAACATGAAAAATTCAGGTGGAGCTCCTAAATCAAATTGGATATTAACATTATTATCTATTTTAAAAAGTATGGAGAAAAAACATCAAATTGCCTTGTCTCCATATTGTGCTGCATTGTTACATACTGAGGTCTTATTGTCTGCATTTTCTATGAGTCCTTTATCAATTTGCATTATATATTTGGAGCAGGATTCAGGATTCTCCCTCATGATGGTAATACAGCTCCAGCACAAAATGGACAAAGCTTGCATCATTGAAGATAGGTCTACGTGGAGAGCCTCAGCAAAAATTTCTTTTAAAAAATGTTTTCACCTGTCCTTTGAAGAGGCCCAGGCCTGGTCCACAGGCCAAGTGTCTTGGCTAGCAAGATGTAGCACGGGGCTCAGTAGGTTGCTCAGAGACTTAGTTGCTTGATTCATGCAGATTGGCATGCTAACAGAACTGGATGTGCCTTCTGCATGGGAACTGCTTGATCTCTGCCTGCTCATCTCTGGACAAATGTGCTTTTGTGGCTTGCAAAGTTATGTGACTACATTTAAATCACAATGCACAATTTACTTACATGGTTGCAGTGTCTGAGCCTTACTTACCAGCGAGCTCTTTGCACTAGAGAATATATCTTTAAATTATGCACTGAATGCTGCCAGGAACGTGTTGGTATAATCTTCTGTCCTTCCTTATTAATCTCTTGCCACCCTTCACACTTTTGTTCCTTACAGAGAAAGCTCAAGTTCATGCTTCACTGAAGTCAAACTCATAATCATAGCTGTTGTACTGTTTTGTTTTGCATGTTCATTTTTTTTTTTTTTTTGGCTCCTTTTTCCAGTTGTGACCGGAGAAAAAACACAACTGGTTAAATATTAAGGGAGGAGGAACATACCTAAGAGAGTGACAATGGTTTCATATGTGTACTTTTAGTGCAGTGAAACTTGCTTCAGTGAGTTCCTGTTATACACATTTTACAGTTACTGGAATGAAATGTCCCTGGTGCCAAAGGCAAACACATAAGAGACAGGGAACTCATAACTGCATGAATGTTTTAGACACTAATAAGTAGTGGGTGCTCCTGCTGTACATAAGAGCTGAGCTATTCTTACTACAACACAGCTACAGGCTAATATAACACAGGTTCATTTCCTTGGATCAACATGTATTAAAAAATAATTTGCTGGGCAAGATGAGGCTTTTTGGCTCAGGTAGTCCTACTGGCTGCTCCAGAGGTTGCTGAGAAGTGTAATAAAATTACAAATCCCTGCTGATTGATTAGTCTTTCTTTTCCCACAACACTTCAAAGCATTTCCCTTTTTCACTTAAGACCAGAACTGTGGGTAAGTAGCCTCCAGCACAGAATTCTCAGTGAATGTCCTTCCATGGGCTCTAGCTTCAAGCTTGTTATCCCTATGTCACTGCTCTTGGATCATCCTAGAGTTTAACTCAGCTGTTAGAGGGGCAGGGCAAGACCTGGTGTTTGGCTCAAGGCTCTAGGGAAGAGGGGAGGAAGCAGGTGTATTGTATAAGCAAAGCTTCATGTGTCAACATCCATGCACTTGTCAGAGGAATTTATCTGCTCCAGCTGTGCTGCTCAAAGAGGGAATCTTTCAGTATATATTTATCTGATGTATTATGTGTCTGAAACATTCTGTCAGTTTATTTCAGAGAATAACTTTGTACCATAGGGAATGTAATTATTAGGATGATCTAGCATCACCATAGAATACCACAGTATGAACCAAAGTACCAACTAGCAGCATCTGATTGGGCTAGGTGCCATAGAATGGGAGTTAATCCTTGTCCAAGAGAAAAGGGAATGAGCGAGAAGGTGACTGTCATTTTATAGAGAGGAAAATCAGTGCACTGAAAGAATGCATAGTGAGAAAGCCAGTGGAAGTTCAGAGGAGCAAAAGTGGAAACCTGAAAGACGTCTTGTGCTATGGCCTTATAGTCCATGCTTCAAATGGTCTATGTCCTGTGCAAACATCTATTGTTTCAAAGCTGTTCTTTTCAAAATGTGACCCTCATGTTAAAGATATCTTAAAGGAAAAATAATGGCCAAAATGGAAAGAAAGGGACTCAAGGTATGCAAAACAGATTCCCACTTGCTTGAGTTCAAAAGGTTGTTTGTTTATGTCTGTTCTGTTTCAGACATACAGCTGAATGTAGATGCTTGTCTTTGAATTATGTTATGAACCTGTCCACAATTTAGGGAAATTTGTGTACAGGAAGTCATATCTGTCTCTCAGTTTGAACTATTGTTGCAATATGAATGTTGTAAAAAACAGGAAACAAGAAAAGGAAAAAATCTGATTTTCTAGGTTGTCCTGGGGCCAAGAAGAATGAGTTCCTGACTAGTGTTTTGGATGCATTGTCCACAGATATGGTGCACGCTGTCTCTGATCCATCATTGTCTTCTAGCCGGTGGGTTTCAGATCCTTTTTGTGTGTCTTTAAAAGGATTCTGCCAGTGGTGAATGAATTGTTTGATGGCTTTGAGAAGCCTTCACAAAGGGCAAATTACCAAGAACCTATCTAAGAGAGTTTGCTTCAAAGTTACCTCTGTGGACAATGTCCACTAAACAGATGCACCTGATTAGATGAATTCTCAGCAGCATAGCTTAGAGTTTAATTGTAGCTGCTGGTACAACTGTGTCACAGTCTTTGTTCTTCTCTCAGGCTTTATTTGATGACTGTGTGCTGCCTTCCAGATTCATATTTGGCCTAGTTGCTTGCAAAATAAACCAGTGCTATTGACAGTCACAGGTAGCATTAAAAATGCATAAGTGCTGTCAAACTTTGGGCCGGCATCTGCAGGTCAGGTGCTTACCATCTGAAGAGGAGGTGGCATTTATTGTTATAACTTACCCCGTAATACAATACATTTAGGTGTTTTGTCTCTAAAAACATCCATCATGGATTGTAATTTGAGTCTAGGTATTTGGCAATACTGATTGTTGGTCAACTTCAGTTGGTTGCTTTACACGTTTAGTGCATCTGCTGCCTATGAAACTCTTTTTCTCTCTTATTTCTCTCTTCACTTTCCTTTGTTTCAGGAAATTAAAGGGGAAGGCACTGTTCTCCGAGTATGATGCTGACCACAACTTGGTTTCAAAGGGTTAGCTAAGAGCAGATTCCAACCCTTAGTGTAAAATTTAGGATACAGTTGGCCAAAGTGGAAAAAAAAGGATTCACTACAAGAAGCTAGTGTCCAAATGTAGGGAGGTTTATGTATCCAATGGTGATGTAACTGTTCTGAAATAAAACTGAGGTTTATATATCAGTATTAAGACTAAACTCTTTTTTTTTTCCTGTTTCAGGGTTTCAGAGCCTGATCCAAATCATACTCTGGAAGAGAGAGTGGTCCACTGGTATTTCAAACAGCTAGATAAAAATTCCAGTGGTGATATTGGCAAGAAAGAAATCAAGCCATTTAAGAGATTCCTAAGAAAGAAATCAAAGCCCAAAAAATGTGTGAAGAAGTTTGTGGAATACTGTGATGTGAACAATGATAAGTCCTTGTCAGTTCAAGAGTTAATGGGCTGCTTGGGAGTAACAAAAGAAGAAGGTAAAGCAGAAACAAAGAAACGCCATAGTAAGAGCCTTTTCTATCTGTCTTTTTCCCTAAATTCTTCCAAGATGCTGAAGTCTGATATTTATATACACGAGTATTATGCAAAATAAAAGAATACACCTGGCTGTAGCTAATGCAGCTGTTGCTTAGTGCAGATGGCAGGAAAGTTGCTTCTGTGTAGCCAAATCATCACTTTGCTCTAACAGAATCAAAAACTTCCCATCGAGCTTGACCACTAAATGTATTACAGTAGGAAACCTAAGAGGATATGGTAACATTAACAGTCATCAAAAAACCAATTTAATGTTATGACAGTGCTATGTTCTGAATGAGTGAAAGTATCACACCTGTGCTTTTTGGATTTCTGGAAGGAAGCACATGGTTGAGCTTTCTAATGACTTCTCAGTTCTCAAACATGGTTTAGAGATACAGTAAGGAATGCACTCATCTGCCAAACAGGTGGAACAACTGCTGATACATAGACACCTTACCTCACTGCCAAACTGGTGAAAAGAGGAGCAACTAACTAGATAGTATAGTAGTCCCTGCAGAGTTCAATCACACAATTCCTGAAAATGAGGAAGATCTAAAAAAAAATTGGAAAGGACAACACTAGATCCCCATAGTTCAAGAAGTTGTAGAACAATTAACATAGGCAAATTGTTTTATCTGATGCCTTAAATGGAAGTGAGGACAGTAAAACAAAGGTGCCACTGGTTATATTCAAGTCTAGAAAGGGAATACTGCAGAAAGACAGGAGAGCTCTAGATTTTGCTATTATAGTAAATTATATATGGCTCACATAAATAGATCTCTCAAAACAAGTATCAGTCAAATCCAGGATTTTTTTTTTCTGTGGGTTTTTTTGTGGAGCTAATAACAACACCTTGCAATTTTCACTTGGGTGATGTAGGTTATAAAATTGTGTATGTAGATGGTTGACTGTTGTTACCTTTATGCTATAAATGTGGGGAGTGAAACACTTCTGTCCTGCTGCAGCAGGCACTCCGTGGTCTCTTAATGTAGATGAAATTTGGGTCCCAAATCACTGCCTCAGGAGATAAATGAAAACAACAGCAAGACTGAAAGGAAAATCAATTTTTTTTCCTGTATGCATTGCAGAGAAAAAAACCCAAAGATCAGGATAAACTGCCTGTTTTGGGAATGAAAGTTCTAAGATGCATGGAATCATATGACATACAGATTTGGCTAAGGCCAGATTTGGCTAAGGCAAAAATTATGTCCACCCTAACTGGATTATTTTAACAGATCGTCACACACAAAAAAAAATCAATTCAATAATGAGAATATTCAACTTTGGAAAGAAAAAATATCTTACAACTTTGGCAGTGAAAAACTAATGTCATTCAGTTGTAAAAAAGTTCTAAACCAAATCATTGGGTTGCTTTACTAGAAATACATAGTTTCGAGGACAAAACAGTAAAAATTACTTTTGCTGGAATATCATTATTCTATTTTGTTTCCCCTGACTGATAATTAAAATTTCCTTTCTGATAATCCTTGCATTTGCACAAGAGAAATCAATTGCCACTTCACTGGCAGCTAGAGTTATATTGCTAGGAAAAGGTGAGACTTGGTTGCTGTACTATTTTTTGAGGTCCTGTTTTGTTCTGCTTGGTCTCAGTACAGCTTCACTGACTTGCAAACTGACATGGAAAAACCAAGAGATTTCCAGGAGCATGATTCTGCAGTAGGATCTGGACAGGCTAGATAGATAAGCTGAGCCCAATAGTATGAGGTTCAAGACCAAGTGCCAGGTCCTACACTTTGGCTGCAATAACCCCATGCAGTGGTACAGGCTGGGGGCCGAGTGATTGGAAAGTGGCCCAGTGGAGAAGGACCTCAGGGTGCTGGTTGATGGTGTCTGAACATGAGCCAGCAGTGTGCCCAGGTGGCATCCTGGCCTGTATCAGAAATAGTGTGGCCAGCAGGACTAGGGAAGTGGTCCACCAGCTGTACTCAGCACTGGTGAGGCCTCCCCTTGAGTACTGTGTCCTGTTCTGAGCCCCTCACAATAGGAAAGACATTGAGGTGGTGGAGTGAGTCCAGAGAAGGGCAACAAAGATGGTGAAGGGTCTGGAGAGTAAGTCCTATGAGGAGTGGCTGAGGGACCTGGAGTTGTTTAGCCTGGAGAAGAGAAGGCTCACCCTATACAACTGCCTGAAAGGAGGTTGTAGCCATGTGAGGGTTGGCCTCTTCTCCCAGGCATCTGGTGACAGGAGGAGAGGACATAGTCTTAAGCTGCACCGGGAATGGTTTAGGTTGGACATTGGGAGGAATTTCATCACAGAAAGTGTGATTTGACATTGGAATGGGTTGCGCAGAGAGGTGGTGGAGTCACCATCCCCAAGGTGTTTAAGGAAAGACTGGATGTAGCACTTAGTGCCATTGTCTAGTTGACATGGTGGTGTTAGGCCATAGGTTGGACTCAGTGATCTCAGAGGTCTTTTCTAACCTATTTCATTCTGTGCTTCTGTAAGATAACGAGCTCCTCCCTAGCCTCACAAGTTTGCTTGTGAAGTTGTATGGGCCAGAAGATTCATGGAGCATGTTGGGGTTTTTTTTTTCCACATTTTTAGTACATTTTGCCCGTAAGAAACTTAAAAACTCAGTGATAATCTTGTTGTTTTTCAGATTATATGTGAACAATATCTTTGGCTTGTAGAGCTCTTTCTGTGCAATATATTTAAACAAAGTGAATGCTTTCTAGACAGTTTACTTGTCCATGCTTTGTTCCCACCAGGGATAATAGACTACATTAGAGATTTAATAAGTTTGAAACACTCAGTGCTGAATAGATGCAATCTCCTAAGTAAATGTCACAGATTGACTGGCAAGAGATGTTGTCATTCAGCTTTCATATGGCTTCATGAAAGAAGAAACACCTGTACTGAGGAAAGAAAACAGTGGATGTTTCAGTGAAAGATCTGAAATATTTTTTCTCAGTGCAGTTACCCTGCTCTACAAAATATCTTTTCAGAATGAGGGCTTCGATTCCTGGGGATGCTACAGATAACTTGCAAATCATAGTTATAATGTTCTCTTTTCCCTCCTTTAGCAGCCCCTAAAACCAACACTGAGAGCACTTCATCCAGCAGGCAGGTGAGTAGTGAGGAGAGCAAGATCTCCATTTCTGCCTTGCCCAGCTGAACTTCTTGGGGGTTTAGCAGTTATCATTGCAGGTTCAAAATACATTAATCTGCCATTCTGCAGAATTGCCAGAAAAATGCAGAGCAGCACCTCAATTAACAAATTTTGACTCAAGTTCTGCCTGGGGAAAGCTGAATCAGTCAATTACAGGTGCAGAGTAAATGTGCATAATGTGCAAAGTGGATTAAGTTTACATATGGCTATTTCTAGGAATGTGTAAATTGATGTATAGGTTAGTGATAATTTGATGAGTGTAATTGAGCCCTCATGAGACTTCTGCACTCCTGAATGACAGGATTCTCATACACTTTTAAATGTGCACTGCTTCATCTTCATTTACCTTTAGCTTTAACTGAATTCTGTCAGTTTTCCTTTGTGTCACACTATAGACACAAACTTATATTGATTGACGTTGCTCTTTGTGAACAAAGCCATGCACTTCCCGTGCCCTGTGGAAATCTATACATTTCACAAACACCACTGAATTATTATGTGATGGCTTTAAACACCTTTTAAAATCTTAGTGCAGAGAAAAGAGCTGTCACAGCTTTCAAATGCTTTTGCTGACCGAGCAAAACTATGCTGAAGGTCTAGGATTTGCATCACTCTGCTAATGTACATTTAAACTAAAATTGGTTAGGTCTGCAGGTTAGGATTGCAGCAACTAAAATGTTGAGTGCCCTGATAACATAATCTGTGATTTGGTTTTGCATCAATTTTCTGGAAAGATTTGATTTTGTTTCTCCAAATGACACCAGTGTATGTCATCCATGGAGGTTTGGCTACTCAAGCTAGTCAGAGCTGCAAAAGGCACAAAAGCAGAGTTTTTAAATGAAGGAAAGGTACACTTTGAAAAGGAGGGACTCAAGTGAAAGCTCAGGTAAAGAGGTTAAAAAAGGGTTTCTCATTTGTGTGTGTCCATTTTTATAATCATTAATTCTAAAGATGCAGTTTCCTGGACAACATTGGCATACCTTGCTAGTACTTTTGCATGGTCCTGAAGGGCAGTTATTTGGATGGTCTAGGAAGAGTCACCTTCACACTATTCTTACCTCACTATAGTATTAGTTAAAGGAATTAAATTATTAATGGCCACAAAAACATCAGTGATGAATTGGTTTAAAAAATGTTCATATAAACATACTACAAGAACAGCTCAGGTTACCCTGCACATGTGAAAACAAGAATTTGGCTAGAAGTATCCCAAAACCTTAGTTGTGGTAAATGTCTTCCCATCTGTCATAAAACTAGATTAATTTGTTAGAAATTGAACCCAAAGTGAACCTCCTCATAAGACAAGAAATCATCCTCTCAATGTTGCTCCTCAATTTATTCTTTTATATTCTCTGATTTGTTTGATGTTAGGTTCACACTTCCTAAGGCAAGCTCAGCATTGGTTGTGAGTTCTTCCAGAGACCTCCTATCATGGAACATAAAGTATTTTTACAGCTAGAGAGATGTGATAAATTTCTGTTTGTTTAAACAAATGTTTGTGGTCTTAGTTTTTCAAGTTTTCCCCATAAATCACTTATGCTTTAAACAAGACAGCCTGAAAACAATTATCCTGTCGGAACTAAAAGACATTCAAAGGGGTTATTTTAATTACATAATGGCAATTACTGGCACACGTGCATTGCACTTGAAGCATGACAAGCCCTCTCCCCTTTCTCATAATATGATCTTGACTCACAGAATCTGTAATAAAATAGTTCGAGAACATCTATGTTTTATAATTTTGTCCAATAATTTTGCTCACTCAGCATCAATTATTGTAAGAGTTGCTGCTGACAAATGATAGCCTTAAATTAAGGCTGGCTCAGCAAACCATCTGTTGGCAGTTTCATACTTGAACAATACATGGCTGCAAATGCAGAAGATGGCTTTCATCACAGAAGTTCTCACTTGAAAGGAAGTTATTGGAAAGCATAGGAGCTGCTCAGAGGAAACCACCCATGTAAGAAGGCATGATCAGATTTGCACCACTCAGGAGGTGTACTCTCTAAAGCTCATTTTCTACTAGTTACTAGTTTTCTACTAGTTACAGCAGTTAGTTATATATATGCTTATGTGTGCTTCGACATGTATTCCTGAATATAGTTTTTCACATATGTGCACATCTGTATATGCACATACAAGCTTACAGAAAGAAAGCAGACGGAGAAACATAGACTGATATGCTAACTGAGTCTCAGCTGTGATTGCTGTAATGGAGGTCAAATACATACATGATGGGTCTGACAGAACTGGGGTGGTTGCCAGGTATATTTCCCTTGCTCTGCTCCACCCTGTCCAACAAACATGTACATGCACACATGCTGTCAGTGAGACCCAGAGCATCTTTTGCAACTTAGCAAAAAATTTGCAAGGAAACTTGGTCTTCATGAGATTTTGGCCAGCAGCCCATTTTTTATACATCACATGCCATAGAAAGGTATATTTGCACCAGGGACTTGCCCAGTCAGTTGCTAAAACTGTGTGTTTGACAGGTATAGATTTAAAGGGGCCACTGGTAAGATACAGTAAAGATGTTGCTTTGTTCATAGATGCTATGAAGGACTCCAGGGCAGGGATTTCTCTATTCTCCATATATGTTTTTGTAGAACACTCCTTACAATAGTGGTATGTGGACACTGCTGAAAAATAGAGATAGATGTTTATACTTGATTAATTGAAAACATAATTAATAATGCAAATTTTTCCAACTTCCTTTCAGCAGGTTTCTAAGAAGCAAGGGTGAACACCTTACTAATCCAAGGCAGATCTCTTTGACATGTGGGAGATTTCCTCACCAAAAGGCAATAAAAACAACTGTAGTATTTGCACTTTGTACTTAAAAAATGTAAATTCACTTTGTAGAAATGAAATATTTAAACAGACTTCTTTTTTTAATCTGTGAAAATGTAATGGCTAGTTTTGAAAAATTATCACATACAATGTATGTGTATTCTTTTGTTGTCTGAAATATGTAAAACATGTTGGAGATGTAAAAGTTTGCATTTAAACCATTTTTTAAAAAATAGCTTTTTGGCAAACAGTAGCATAGAAACCTGATTCTTTGTATTTTGGTTTCAATAGTATGCCTTGTTTTTCTTAATAGTGTCATTTAAGTAGAGTTATCCTGAAAAGTCTACTGTATTCTCAATTTTGTCCAAGCAGTGTTGGATGTTTCAGGTTTGCAGGACTGAGAGAATTGTGTAAATTGCTGTTTATTTGGTTTTCCAGTTTTTAACTGAACAGATTTTTCATCGGTGGCAGTATTTTATTTAATTTTGTTTTTATTGTAATTATTATGCTTTCCAAAGATCACACAATGATAATACAACCACTAATGGATTCAAAAACAGTTATTCTACTTGGGATGCCTATAGAAATATGTATCCTTTTATCCATTTTTGAGGTGCCTTCCATTATAAGTTTTGGTAGGATTTTTCTCCTGCTTGCTTTCACTTGGGTTGTAATACAGCAAACCAACAAGGAGTAAGGTGAACTATAATGTCACTTCAGTCGGGTTCAGCCTGGGCCCCAAAGCATGTTTCTATGGTCAGTGCAAAGCAGGAGCAGAGTGTATACGGGCCAGAATTGTAAATCTTACTATAAAATGACAGGGAAGAATAAGCAAAGGGTTCAGTCTTTTCTTCCCCTACACCTGGCTGCCCCCATCAACATTTTGGCTTGCCTTGAGGTCCAGTAGAGGTAAAGCTGAACAAATTATAAGCAGTTGTCATCAAGAGGGGCTACTCACATTGGCCCTGCCTGAGGCTCTTTCCTTGCTGTCTAGAAGAAGTTCTCACAAGCTTTCGTTCCTTCTCTGTCATTTTCCCTCCCAATGCTTTTTTTTTTGTGTGTGTGTGTGTCTCTGAGGGGAATAAGAACTTGTGGATGTGAATTTAGAGCAGGGGACCCAAGTAAAAAAAACTTCAGCTCCTGAGCAACTGTGAGTTACAAACAGCTGGATTGATCAATTCAGTGGTAGATGGAGTACAGCATCAAGGAGCTGACATGAGAGGGCAGGAATGTTGCAACAAACAGTGATTTCATTCTGGTTAGTTTAAATAATCTGTAGGATCTTACATGTGACTAGCTAATCATAATAGCACCCTGGCTTGACTTGTACCTGGAAAAGCTTTTTTGTGAATAAATATGTTTCATTTAAATTCCAACATATGCTGAAGTGATAGGAAACACTGTATGCAATGGAATTGTACCCCAGAAATTGTGTACTCTTAGCTTCGGAAGCAGGAGAAACCAAGATGCAGCTGTGTGTTATCTTGTATTTTTTTAAAAAAAAGTATTTGTTATTCTTTTATACTGTTAAACTTTGAATTTAATCTTCTTTATAGATTAAAGATCAGTATGTTATCAAACTATGCTGGTGATTTTTCTTCTGCAACACAGAGAGCCATGTTTGGAAGCAGATACACACAGCAATGACTTCACCGCTGCTTTGGGTTTACAAGAAACCTCATAACCTCACACTGTGTCCATCTTCTTTTCTTCCCTTGCCCCTTTATTGAATTATCTTCTAAGGTTGTTCATGCCTTAATCATACCATTGCCTTCTCAAAATAGTGACTTTGAGGCCAGATTCTTTTTATGCTGCTATCCCCATATAGTTTCATCTTGGTCTTTTGCCTCTTCTCAGCAAAGTGTGATATGGCATAGGTAGAAATGACACTTCTTCCCCTCGATGTTAAGTGTGAGCTGCTGGGCAACTTTCAACCTGACTGTAAACAACAAGGAGAGAGAGGCAGACCCTGAGAATTGTCAGCAACTGGTTAGGTGGCCACAGCGTGGTTAATAGCAGCATTTTGTAAGAAGAATCTAATTCTGTCACCACGACCTTTGGAGGCAATATAAATGTAGGCTACCAAATATTTTGCCATGTCCATGGTTTGAAATTGCAGCCTATTTAAACTGAGAGGGTGTGTGGGAAGGCAGATTTGGACTAGTCATGTGATTATATAATAAGTAGCCTTAAACACTGGTCAAAATACAAATGCTAAAGACATACTCTTACTTGTCTGGAGACTACTACAACATAGAGCCATTTAATGACTCTACAATGCTGAAACATGAAGTATTTAATCTTTGCACATACTTCTGTATCATCACTTTTAAGGTTTATTTCAATTACCACCTGGATATAAGTAGTAGTGAGTTCTCGTAGTTCCAGTTAAGAGTCCAGATCCCTAATGGTATCATACTTGAAAACTTGCTAAATTCACCTTGGGTTCCTGTATCTCCTGTATATCCATAGGATATTTAAACTCAGATAAATCTTGTTTCTTCTAGTTGTATCCAGGCATGACCTTGATACCAAAAAAGAATCCATGTGGATCGGCCCTTAGGCTCACACTACAGTGCCAGTGTTTATTTAGTTACACAGTAATTAATTAGTTCTAGTTGTGGTCCTATTCCATGTGCAGCAATTTTGTTTCAATTTTAATTCTGTTCTTACTGAAAACACAACTTATATTCTGCTTTTCATTGACCAATATTTGTTCTAGTTCCAGCTATTGCTGAACATATTTGTTTAGAGCTTTTACAAGGTTGTAAATAGAAGACTATAAAGTTAGCAAAATGTGTATGTAGTCAACGATTTGTCCAGCCTTTTGCAATGTCCATTAGTAAAACAGGCCACACAGTGAGAAATGTTCTATGTTTTGTCAACACTTTGGAAAACTTTCTCATTTTGTTCCCATCCCTAAATATAGGCCAATTTTAAAGTTCAAGTTTTACCAAAACCACTTCATCGTGTCTTCTCCCAGTCAAACAAAATGTCTAGCAGAACTGGGACCTAGATGATTGCTCTGAAAGACAGCTTTCCTTGCTAATGTCATTTCAGATATTAAAAGAATGAAAGGGACAAGACTTAAGCAATATTCACTGCATATAAATAAAAGAATACACTGTACTTTTTCTATTTGGACCAGACTTTTGCCCTTCACAAGTGCCATAAGCCAATGGAGAAAGCAGGCATTCCTAGAAAGCTGGAAGGAAAACAAAAATGTAGATTGAATCATTAAAAATATTTAAATGTGTCCAAGATTTGATAGATTTAAGTAATACTTTCCTTTTACAGTTGTAATAAAAGATAAAGGTTAAGAGGATTAATAGAGGTTAAGAAATCTTTGCTAACAAAAGTAATATTTACGCTGATGTATTTTATAACTATGTCATAGAAACTAACATGAAAGAGTCTTTAATGCAGAAAGTGAAAGGTTATTTGCTTTCATTTTGTTTAGGATGGCAAATTGGTATAATTTTGGAGTAATTGCCTTGACATTAAATGGGAACCGACTCAGTTTATTGTTGTCTGAAACATTAGAATGATTGTAGTAAATTATTGATACTGTACTCTTTGTCCCATTTAATTGTTTCAGTTCAAGTTTTGTAAGTCAAAATATGCCCTTTGTTTAAAAAGCATAAATAATACATGTAATATTTTTTTATTTAAAAGCTCATGTGGAAAGCATTCAGAACAACACATTTCTCTAGAACAACCAGTGATGGGGGTAATAGGCAGTCTATTTTTATCTAGATTAACAATAGAAATGCATGCAATATTTTGCCTTTCCTATGTCCACCTTCCATTTTTCATCATACACTTTGTCCTCTGACTCTTGTCACTGCTGGTCTATGAAGATTTTTGGAAGGGAAGGTAATGAAATGAAATGTGTATGTGAACAATCTTTTCCATAAAATAAAATCATTTGAGTCATACATCATATGATAGGTGAACAGCTGGCTCACAGATCAGGCACAACCAGTAAGTGAATGGAGTTACATCAGACTGGCAAACAGTCACTAGTGGGTTCCACAGGGCTCCATTTTAGGCCCAGTGTTCTTCAACATCTTCATAAATTACTTGGATGCAGGAGTTGATGGGATAGTAAACAAATTTCCAAATGATACAAAATCAGGAGGAGCTGTTGCCTCCCTCAAAGCCAAAGAGGCCCTGCAGAGAGACCTTGATAAATTGGAGGGTTGGGCAATCAGCAACTGTATGAAGTTTAGCAAAGGCAAGTGCCACATTTCACACCTAGAACTAGGCAACCCTGGATGTGCATACAGACTGGGGCATGAGATGCTGGAAAGCTGTGGAAAGCAACATGGGGGTCCTTGTCTATGGCAAATTGAATATGAGTCAACAGTGTGCCCTGGCAGCCAGGAGGGCCAGCCCTGTCCTGGGTTGCATCAGGCAAAGCATTGCCAACTGGTTGAGGCAGGTGATTGTCCTGCTCTACTCTGCACTGGTGTGGCTTCGCCTTGAATATTGTGTGCGGTTTTGGGCACCACAATATAATAAAGATGTTAAGTTATTGGAGAACATCCAAAGGAGGGCAACAAAGAAAGTGAAGGGCCTTGAGGGGAAGCCATATGTGGAGCAGCTGAGGTTGCTTGGTCTGTTCAGCCTGGAGAAGGAGACTGAGCAGAGACCTCATCACTGTATACAACTTCCTCACAAGGGGAAGCAAGAGGGACAGGCACTGATCTCTTTTCTCTGGTACCTAGTGACAGGACCCAAGGGAATGGCCTGAAATTGTGTCAGGGAGGCTTAGGTTAGATATTAGAAAAAGGTTCTTCATCCAGAGGAGCAGGCTCCCCCGGAAAGTGGTCACAGCACCAAGCCTGACAGAGTTCAAGAAGCATTTGAACAATGTGCTCAGGCACATGATGTGATTCTTGGGGCTGTTCTGTGCAGGACCAAGAGCTGGACTTGATGATCCTTGTGGGACCTTTTTGACTCCAAACATTTTGTGATTCTGTGAGTCTTCTTTCCCTAGTTTTCTCTTTCCTGTACATCAATCGAATGCATAAGATTGCTTGCTTCTTATCAAATGCAGAATTCTTGTTTGCACAGGCATGGAATCTGTTCTTGGCTGAATGTATGTTTTATGGAGAAAATAACTCATAAAAGAGCAGCACAATCTGTGGGATTGCAGGTGGACAGCTGCAATTTTGTATTAAGCCACAAATAACTTTATAAAGATTTAGAAAGCCCAATGTGACATGCATTTATGAAGATGCCTATATTTGTTCTAAGTAGTCAGTCAGGAAAAAATAAGGAGAAGAAAGTGGCAAATGAAGTTTCCAGTGAGACACATTGTTTAACTAAACCATGACCAACTGATTTCATGGGATTGAGGTTTTCTATGAAATTTCACTTTTAAAAGAATTTTTTGGTTTTGAGGTTATTTTTATGTTGAAACTTCCTTTTCTTCACGTAACAGGCATGAAGTGTCAACATGGAAAAGGGACATCTGGACACCAATTTTGTCCCAAGATTAGATATTGTGAAAGGTAGTAGCCTTCTTGCTCTTCCACCAACTTTTTTTTAAAAAAAACACGTATATCATAATCATATTTGCTTGAAAGAATTCAGGTTTTCAAATATTAATTTTTCATGTTTCATAGGTTTTTT